AGAAAAACAAGAATATTATTTAAACCAGAGTAACAATGTAACTTTTTTTGGTAAATATTTATAATGCCTTTTAAGATGACGTCGTATACCCTCCGAAGAGGTTGAATAGTTTGTTTAATTTAAGTTATCAAAATTGTTGATACAGCAGTTTCGAAGATTGGAAACCTAGGAATATATGAAATTAGATATTTATAGAAATGTCCGCAGTGTAATAATTGCTTTAGTTGTCACATAGGAACTAAATATAAAACAGTTGGACCTCAGCTTACACCTACTGAAAATGTCAAAATTTTGTTAAAACTGAGCCAAATTGTACACATTTTTTTATATAATTCGACAAGCATTTTTTACAGTAACATGTATTTAGTTAAAAAAAAAATTGAACAAAATTTCGAAAAATAGTACAACGAACATACATACAATAATGTATAAAATAAAACACTAAAGTAATAATCGAATAGATAACATATTAAAGTATTTCCACAAGCACTGTGCATACCTAGTGCTAATGCTACAAGTCAGGTTCGACTGCAATATTTTAAATTAATTAGGAAAATATAATTTTACACTTACATTTGAAAATCTTTGAATGTTTGTGGATAATACTTAAGTTGCGACCAGAAAAAGCGTCGTCAAGTTAGCGATGGACTAGCAAAACTAAATATATTTCTAATCTCTTGTCTACGCTACTCATTATGTGAATTGAGCAAGACTGTTAAAAATTAAGTACCAAAGTAGAATTTTTGGTAGACAGTGAAGTTTGCACCGTATTTCAATAATAAAGAGACAAAAGTTTTTAAACGAAAAACTTTCGATCGGAGTGCTTTAAATAGCGCAAAAAATGTGGCTTTCATCGTGCTCTGAAGCATTTTTTGTATAGTGGTCCAACTCTGACTTCGTTTTTATGGCACTGCAATCTCAATTACCGCAAGTATTAGAAACTCTATTGAAAATGTAAATAACCGTGCCATAAATCATCTTAAAGGCTTACGGCCCCATACGGCCCTGTGTACTCTAGACAGTTGGTCCTTTATGGTTTATAACCGCTGGATTACTTGCGGCAGAGGCCTATTGTGGAACACTTAACTCCTTCACAATAGGATGCAGTCATAAAAACGAACCAGCGGTTGCAGCACTATACAAGTAGTTTTTGTGTCAGTATTTTATTTGCTAACATACCATTTATTTTAATGATGACTTTTTTTAACGTTGCACAGAGCAGTAACAAGTGCAGATTGTGATATTGGTATATAGAGGATGTTTACTAAATATGCGGAAAAATCTAGTGAGATTATTCCTTGGATTATTTTAAGACTTTTTGTTCCTGGATAATTTTCGGAAAGACGCTTTGTATTGAAGATACGGAGCGAAAAAGCTTATCGAAAAAAAAAACATTTTATTAATTCATATTACGGATGTTTAATCTAAAAAACTACTCGTCACGGATCAGATTTTTTTTCATAAATGCCACAGTTATTTCTTATTGTAGTACACACACCCCTCAATTATGTGGTTTCTCAAATTTTCTTGTCCTCCATGGGCCCCGTACATTCCACCGTAGTTTTACTTTACTTTTATCGCCCTGTACTTTTGAAACAAAGCGTCTTTCCGAAAATCATTCAAGGACTAAAGTTTGTTAAATAATCCAAGAAATGACCCTCTAAATTTTTGCCGCAAATTTGGTAAACACCCTGTATAGTAAAATAACTGAGCTGAGGTCAGGTCAGGTCAGGTCAGGTCAGGTCAGGTCAGACCGTAATTAATAAGAATAAAATATAGATGCTCAATATTACAGAAAAATTGGTCGAAAGTTAGTTCGACAGAATTTCCCTCTCTCTTAAAGTACAACAAAACATATCCAGCTTTTTCGAAAAATTACAAAATTAGATTTTGCGAAATTAATTTCTTTTACGAGAACCCCTATTAATTAAAAATACGTATGTAATGTTAAAGTCAATGTAAAGAAGCGTGCTATGCGTGTGTTTCAAGTGAGTTTTTCTTCGATAAAAATTCGTGATGACTACATTAACATTTTTGTAAGTACATCAGTTTGAATAGGTGTAATGTAATAGTAATAATAATAGGGCTGCGTTACCAAATTTTCTGGAAAATGGAGTGAGCCGTTCCTAATTTAATTAAGAAAATGTTCATTTATTTTATTCACCCTGTATATGTAAGCAATTCTAAAAAAATGAATGCAATTAGAAATCACAAGTATAGACTCATCATATTTTGCAGATATTCGATAGGATTTATTCGACAAAATTTTGAGATGACGTCATCAATTTTTTGGAAACATTATGATTAAAAATTTGCCATACTTACAATAATTTTAAAACGTCTGCAAGATCTCAGTTCCTGATTTAATCATTGATAGATAAACTACAATTATGAATTCATATTTTGCACATTTTAGATAGGAATTATTCGGTAAAATTTTGAGATGACGTCATCAATATTTTGGAAAGGATAAACCATGATTTAGCATGATTACGATAACCTTAAAACATTTGCATAATTGCACATGCGTCTAATATAGCCACAAAATTTGACAACATGCGGTCTAGTAGTTTCGGAGATTATGAGATGTCTAAAAAATTAACACAGACGACAGACAGACAAACGACGTATGAGTGGAAACAGGAGACTACTTTTTCGGATTCTAAAAAAAAAAAAACTACCAGACCGATTGTTGTCAAATTTTACACATATTATATCCTGTAGATAGTAAAACGCGAACAAAATTTGGCTAATCGTTACCACAAACAAATCTTCCAACTTGACAATAGTAAATCTTATTTAAATTTTATATAGTAAGATATTCCTGCACTTGTGATTTATGAATCCGTGTTGAGTTTTCACCCTAGACGTACAGGTTTTTGGAAAAAAATTAAAATTGTATCATATTTTTGAATTTTGAAACTACAACTGACCGCTTTGAAATCTTGCAAACGTTTTAAGGTTATCGTAAGCATGGTAAATTGTTAACCAGTTAATGTATCCCTTTATCCCCTCTCAAAAAAATTTATGACATCATCGAAAATACGCAAAGTACTTAAGAATTTATACATGTGATTTACCAAGGCATTATGTTTTTTTACTTATACAGGGTGACTCAAAAAATTAAAAAACATTTTTTTATTTCAGTTTTTAAAGACGTTGTGTATAAAAGCCAATACTTACTTGAAATTTGAAGTAAATATTAAATAACTTTATGCATAGTCAATGATTTATACAGAATTTTATTTACGTGTAACTCAGTACGTGACCTAAAAATTCTATTAGACTAGTTTTTTAGTAATTATGTTGCACTCGTTATCAAGATTAATGCAGTCGTAAAAAGTGCAATTTTTATTATGGGACTACTCTGCAAAATATCGGATATGACAATAACATAATTTATTTTAACATTGTTTTACAAGAGTTTGTTAAGAGTTATTAATAATATTCTTTCTTTTTAGCGGTTTGTATTATTCATTTAACTTACAACACCGACTGTGTTGATTAATAGTATAAACACAAATATTTGAAACACATTCGGTTTTTCACTTTGTACTTCCTAGATACAAATTCATACAAATTAAAGAAGTGCATTATGTATTATATTATTTTTAATTTTTGGCATAACTTATTAACAAATCTTTAAATTATACTCAAACCACTGTCAGTGCAGTGCAACATTTTCCCAACGGCAGTGTGAGTCCGAATTAAGTTTGTAACAAATTTTTTTCAGATAGACCTCATAAATAATTTATGATTTTATTCATTGTTATAATAATTATTTATTAAAGCTAACAACAAAAACGGAACACGCGATCAACACATGAAAATTATCACACAGACAATCGTAGTCAATATTGTTTAGTACATTTGTGTATGAATGCATGTATTTTTTTGCTCCATCTACAAAAGCTAATTTCTTTAAGAACAGTGTAATAAAACTGAAAATTGTATCACACAGTTGTTTGCAAATTATTTACACTTATTATCTGCAACATTACGTATTTCATTATTGCTCAGGTGGAACGAACCAAGTATCTAGAAGTATCTAGAAATTAATCAAAGAAATTAAAAAATTTCTTACTAATATATGACACTTTGTGTTCACTATTTTTGATATCCGTTTTTCAATATGGTAATAAGAACTTTTAATAAACATCAGTATATTATTTAAAAAATATTTAGGTAAAAAAATGCAAAGTCTGGTTATTCAAAGCAAGTAGTTATGATGAAACACTCTATATCTAACACACACATATGTCGTATATGTACTCTGCTATAAAAAACTTGTTAAAACTGCCTTTTATACTATCTAACTTATCAAATGACGAGAAATGAAAGAACATTCCAGTCCTTATTTGCTCGAATTTAATGTAATTAAGCTGTATAACAGCCATTCTCTCGTTTCATTTCAACAAATTTAACATCAAGTGAAAATTTTCAATGCCTTTCTGCATAATTTTCGCAATCTCATAACAATTAGCAATGTCTTGAAGGAAACTTTAAAGAGAATTGCTAAGTACCGTAGTAGCCTTTCCTAGTTACATTTTATCGCAACCCCTTATGTTTTAATTGAGTGCATGAATCAGTAATATGTTTCTCACGTTGTCTTAAAGCTTGACATCATCTGTTCTTGTCTTAATCATCGATCGCGTTAAAACAAACGTAAAAGATGATGCAGCTGAAACATCCAAAGCTTTAAGATTGTGCAAATACAATTAAACCGAATTTGAACAAATAAAATAACTGCTGCTTTACTTAAAATATTTGTTATTTAAAAATCGTATAGATTTGGAAAGCAAGAGGTTCGATTTACTGGATTGAGTTGAACAAGCTCGTAATTCAATAATTTGAATCAAGTGATTACAGGAGTGTTTTCGACACGTGCATGTAATTTCTGGTGCGTTGTTGGGGTTAGGGTGCGGGTAAAACTTTTACATGCGATATTCACAAGAGATTAATGATAAATTTCCCACTACATATCACGTTTTATGTTTCAGAGTCGGATATTAGAAGATGCCTCAATTATGTGCAACTCGTGGTCGCCGAGACATAACGTAAGTTTTATCATTCTTATACGCTTTGTTCATTTTTAAGAAATTATATATTATCATGCTGTTTTACAACAAATAAAATACTAGTGGTGTATTGTGTACCGTACTGCTATATTTATTAAAGAGACAAAACATTAATTAGTTGTGTACAACGAAATGGAAAAATAATCATCCAGACATTCAAAATCAGATTATGAGAGCGACAATCGCACTAATACGATAGGGAGAAAACTCGACGAAAGTATGAAACAACAAATTTAACAAAGAATTATCTAGAGGTGGATTCAACTGAAAATAGATGAAGAGTTATAGCAAGAAAGACAAGCGATAATCATTGTAATTCCATTGCTGCACATTGGGGTAGCTGGAGTAGATTTATCATGGGTCTCAACCCATTTAGAGGTTAGGTTGTACACACCCCATTTATCTCCGCTCCGAGTACAAATTATCCTAATCTGTTAATGCTGCGTCCATTGTTTTAAGATCCCCTCAACTGGCAAATTCTCTCGAAACACACACCATTATTTCAACATCAACAAACAGCAATATAAAATAATAATTATAAATGCATAAATATTTATAAATATTGTTAAGTTTTAGTCAGATGTTACTGCCGACAGTTTATGTTATTATTGTAAAACATACTGAATCAAAATTTTGCGCACTGAGAAATTTATGAGAGTAAATATGTTTCTTACTTATTTATTTCCGCTAAAGATTTCACTGCCGAAGACCCTACAAAAAACGGATTTTTATTTTGGGCAAACAGTCTTAAGTCAAAACTATTAGTCTTACCAGGGACAAAGTTTTTCAACATTTTCAAAAATGAGTTTGTTTTTAATTTTATTATAATTTAAAATAAGTTAGCAATATATTATATTCAACGATTTGCGTGCGATATTGAACTAATCTTATCATGAATGCCTAATTACATATTTTCTTGATTTAGAATACAAAAATGCAGATTTCTCGTTTCCGGCTATGTTCTAGAGGGTGTTGGTCACTTGCGCTCGGGGGTTATTTTAGCCAATGTGGCAGGTCTAATCACCAAAAAGGTCATAAGACACTTACCCGCAAATAGGGGATTATAAGGGTTCTCATTGCTCACAGGTACCTGTCTGATAAGAAGTCTCCTATATTATAGTTCCATGAGTTTCATAATCGAGATAAATAGATCAGCAGATCTGCTTTTGTAAAAAATAGTTCTTACATATTTGTAAAAAATAAGTAGTTTCTCAACGTTTTATTTTTTTTGAAATGAACCTATTGAAAATTTAAGAACAATAAAAATATTTTAAGCTCTATGGACATATTTGACGATTAATAAATGGTCTATAATTGTGTGAAAATTAGATCATTTCTGACCGTGGTGCGCAACTGATCCGCGCCACTTCTACCTAACGTCTCTTTGTTCTGTCTGTCAGCAAAATCTGTTTTTCTTATGTTTATTTTGGTCAAAACACAATTACATACGCCTTAAATAGGAGTATTTAAAACAGAGACAAGATGCCTATTATTTTACACAGGGCCATGGCTTTTCACATATTTTTAATAAAATACCCATGTTTAAATAATTTTTAAAAATACACATGATATTATTACCACAATTCTTCAAATAGTATTTAAAAAAATAAACTGTGCGACAAAAATTCACAATTTTGCAGCATTGTACTTTTAACATCGAAAATTATTTAAGACTATAACCATAAGAAGTGACAAATATAATAGTGTCCAACAAAAAGGTTTAGAATGAAACTTCTGTCGACAAATATTATTCTTATTCCTTTTATCCTATTCTACTTTAAAATACTAAAAGATTATTTAAGCTTTGTTTTCAATAAAATAAAACCAAAGGCGAAAATTGATTTGCGTTAAGCACGAAGGTTATTGACAACGTTTATGTTATGTTTCAAATTTATGTTTTGCTTAAATACCAGATAAATTGTTTTCGAATATCATTGGCATTTGTTCTAAAATATTTTCAGTCTACATTTTTACTCCGTGCTGTTTTTTTTTTTCTACGAGTATAAATTGTGTGTTGAATCATTTTATTAAAGAATCTATGAATCAATTTTAAAACTGTCAAATATATACCCGTATTTTATGTTTCTTGTAAATTTAACCGAACGGATAACAACTTGTAAATAGTTGACCTTTTCATTAATTAGTCGTTCTACTAAGTTAACGTCACCAATTTTTTTCCTTGAGGCTATTTAAAATACAAAGTTCATTTAAACTGGCCAAACGCAAAACCTTAAGCAATAAAAACACCCTTATAAATAAATCCAGAGCCACTAGACATAATGATGAATATTACAGAAAGAAGGTTGAAAATATGACAGAAAACGTTTGCCGGGTTTGGACTGTCAAATTTGAAAAGGGTTACCACGTTTCGCCCACTTTCGAAACGGGCACCTTCAGGGACAAGAAGAACGAAAAGTTAGAAAGAGAAGAGAACAACACTAGAGGTAAATCTCTTCTCAATTAATTCTTGGAGATCAATGACGTTATTTTTATTGACCACAGAATTGGTGTATGAATTTTTTTCTGAAATGTTTCATATTTTGTGAATTTGTATTTACTCTTTAAGTAAATTTCACACCTAAAGTTGTCATTATTATAGCTTTGCGACAGATTCAGCTTTAATTCTAGAAGCTGCGTTAAGGGAATTTTTATTGTTACTAAAGCGAAACAAAGGCAGGAAAAAAATTTAAAATAGGCTACAATTAATTTATAACATAGCGTGGAAACTATTTATGGAATATATTCAATAATTTAGAAGCTATTGATATTTCACAAAAACTTTCGAATAGTTCAATAATTTTCTTAATCCTGCTTTCTTTTACTTCCTTTAATGGAATAATATACTATTCTTGTAACTTTTACTATGATAACTGTACAAGTATCTAGTATCACTTTAAATATTTCTTGTGTTAATAAACAACCTGAACTAAGTAATTTATTATCATCAAAGTATTGTAGAAGTTTTTGTTGCGTAAAAATATGTGTGAAGAACTCAGGGACACCAAAAATGAAAAACACTAAGTGCAATTTTTTTTCAAAAATATTCAATATGGTATTCAAAAATGGAGCAGAATGTATAGGGCATCTACGAAAATAGTCGTAGATGCCCTGTGACTCCTTCGCCACCCTCGTCAACGAATAATGCAGCTTATTAGCGGCTCTTTGTTGTGTTTGGCAGGCACGCTTCTCATAAACAGAACCGACTTACCGGTTTAGAGACATTAGTTATGGTGCTGCTTCTTCGCAAACGAGGAGTTTGGAAAAGCCAAAATCATAAAACCACTATTTCCGTGGGTGACCTATACATGGCATTTTTTTTAGAACATACAAAATATGACGTCACAACTTATTTATTACAAATAAGTGAATAGTGCCGTAAAAACCAGTTAAGACGCCAATTCATCCGTTCAAGCGTTTTTGTAAAATATTAGTAGTTTTTGAATGTTGTGTAATCGACACAAGACGTTTTTGGTTCTCATTGTCCGATTTGAGTTGTAGACGATAAGAATGGTAACTTGCTCCTCCAGCTTGCTCAGCTTAAAGGCGTTTTTGTTTTCACATCTTATTTGAATATAATAAACAGTAGGAGTATATAACAGTAAATTTTTATAGAATGTGTTTTGCTTAACTAGGAAGTAATAAAAATTCTGAACTACATCAGCTTGTTGTCAAGAGATGAGGTTTTCGTGATCAAGAAGAATAGCAAGGCTGAAGCAACAGAAGCTAATACATCGTTATTATTTGGATGTAACGTGAAATTCGTAATTAAAATATTAATTATACAGTAGCTAGGACAAAATAACGTAAATTGTGTACGAAATTATTTGACTGAAAATAGACGTTTTATAAACCGTGAATGAGGAACCAGACTTGGGTTTTACATGATTTGCCTAACGACTGAAATTTTGTATGTCTGTTACTTCGCATTTATGTTAGCAAAATTAACCTTCTTTACTAACCCGACGGAATCAAGGGAGGTATGTAACAGAGGCCACTTGAAAAGAGAATTTCGTGTTTTCAAAACGTTTCATAGCTCCTAAAATATGAAAAAATAGGTCTTCCTTTCCATTTATCTGGCTGCCCTCTGTATCCGAAATGACGAAGATATGTATCAGATAATCTTCAGATAATCTTTCAAATTAATAGTCAGTGATCACTGTGAAATTTTAGGTTTACATTGGTATTATTGTACACATAGTGAAACGCTAACCAAAACTGGTTTGGTTTGTTTAGTTCTACCAAAAATTTGACCATGTTATCCCAAAATTTTGTTAAGTACAAAATAATATGTTTTGTAAAGTAGTCCAAGGGCTATAAGGTTATATGACCATCATAAAAGTAGTTGACCGCAAATAAATACCCCTTGTGTGGTTCGCATTCGCACTAAGCTTACCCGTTGGGAATAAATCGTTTTCTAAACATTTCTTGCTTAAATTTAGATATTTAGTGAAAGCCACCAAAATGACAACAGTGGGTCGAGCTGCAGTAGACACGTTAGTTACAACCCTAAAACCTTTTCTATTGTAAACAACTTAACCTTTCTTGGACTACTATATATGAGTTTTATTTTTAAACTTAAATATGTAAGTGTTTGGAAACAAGACTACAGATAATTTGTTTGAAATTTTGTAAATCACCAATCATAATTTATTTGTTCAGCTCCTTCAAAATGTTGATGAGTATGCAGAAATATAGAGTTATTTGACAATGGTTAAGCTCAATTTTTCAAAAATGACTAAAAAACGTTATCTTGATTTACGTGCTTTATTTATTGACCTTTAGATTTTTTTATTGATGTTTCTGAAGGCTGCTTCGAACAAAAAAGAACTAAATAGATAAGTGAAAAAACTCTGTTCATTTTCATTGACAAAGAGAATTTAAAAAGTCTTAAAAACTACTAAGGATATAACTATGAGATTTAGGAAACGGTACAGTTAGCCATCATTAAAACAGTTTATTTGGAAATATTTTAATACAAC